TTGTCAGCAAAATGAATTGTTATATGTGGGAGACAGACACAATTGAATTATTGTGATCTTAGCAGCACTGCAGTGTGTTTTTATTGTCTTAGTCATCACAAAAGCAAAGTTCAAGCTGTGTACAGAAGTTTTTATTTTGTATGTAGTGCTTGGTGGTCTTTGCTGTGTGTATGAAACACTGTCCCATCAAATACTTGGTCATTGTGAATAATACTGAAGTCTGCAAAGGCCGTGGAGTTGCTAGAGAATACTTTTTTTTCCCTGTTCCAGTTGGTTATTCCTTCTGTCAGTAAATTTTAAAAAGAGCTGGATTGCCTTTTGACCACAATACAATTGAAAGTTTTAAGACAAATAAATAGTATTCCCTTAGCTGAACCTATATTATTGTTCAATGTCTCTAAAACATCCATAAAACCCTGAAGTACCTGTATATATGTGTGGGGAAATAGATCCCTGGCTGATGATTCTTGCTTGCTAGAAAGTGTTACTTAACCTCTTGCATATTTATCTAAGACTAGAAAAAAACCAAACAACTTAATTAGCACCTCTGCAGCTTTTTAAAAAGCATTAATATAGACACAGGCTCTGTCCTCCTACTGCAGCTGCACATACAAGTTTTAGAGGAGCATCAATGCCTGTGAAAACTGCAGTGGTTTCAGTGCAGCAATGAGTTTCTGGCCACTTCAGAGCCCTGTTATACTGCTGGAGTGCTTTAGAGAAATACAGCTTGGGAAGAGAATCAGGCTCTTCATCTTGCCATTAAGCAAGCATGGCTGTTGCAGCTGTCTGTGAGGGCAGGAATAACTGGCAGAGTCAGTGTAACTTCTGTGGTGGAACTTCGGGACAGAGTTTGCATGACATTTCTTTCTGCAGCAATGCACATTTGATGCTGCCTGTCCTGGTGTTCTCACTTGTGCTACTGCAACTGTTGATGCGGCGAGTGGCTTAGGTTAGAAAATTTGATTGTGGGGAAATAGAAGCCAGGTGACAGTGTTTTTCCTTTCTTTTGTAGTACTGATCAGTCTCTGGTGTAGTATGTTGCGTAGTTTTGGCAAGGTAAAGGAAGTTGTGGGGGAACAGAAACAAGAGTGTGAGTTAGGCTGGCACTGCCTCTCAAGGAACCAATTGTTGAACTAGAGCCTTAAAAACAAATGGAGTAAGATTCCCTCAAGTAATTAAAATTATGGTCATTTTTTGAGTTTTATTTCCCATAATCTGTGGTGTCATCCAGACTGAACTGCAGTCAGCCCACCTCCTGCTTTACTCCATACTGGGAATTCACTTGGGTACAGTGGTGATATGATGTGTAAAATAGGGATGAATGACTTTAAGTGTTATCCACACTGAAGTCACATAGTGCTGAACCTCTCATCTCCTAAAACCTCACCTAGATCTTGACAAGGTGGCTTGGGATTTTGGTACTTTGCATGTGTGAAGCAGATGAAGGAAGGGAAGTCATATATCTGGATGATCTGACTATTCTAACAAATTTTATGGAAGAAAGCACATAACTCCATCTTTACTTCATGAAAATGCACCTGACTGGAATTTGTGTTCAGTGTAGCTGCTCTTGCTGTAGCTTATGACTTCCATGTGATCCTTCTGTCTGAGACCCTAAAAAATGTTAATATATTACTACAAAACAGATGCCAGAGTGGTTGAACCTGTGCCTTTTACAGTGGTTTCAGTGGGCCTGCTGTGACCTTCAAGGGACTGGGTTGTTAGGACAGTATATTCACTTAAGGACAGATTTGTGGGACCTTATAGAGGGGGATAAGAATTGTCTGAAGATGATGAAGACAGCTTTTAAGGGCGGTGTACAAAGTCCAAGAGATCAAACTTTTCACTGCGTCTGTGCCTGACCTGGTGCTTAGGCTGGTACCCCTCATATACAAGGATACTTCACAAATACTGGACAGACAGGAATATCAGTCCTCACAGCCAAAGGGAGGCATTTCTAAAAGCAAGTTCTACCTCGTGGTAGGCAAAAGATTGAGTTATACATAGGTAAAAAGTCTGCAGCTGTGTGTCATGTTCATTTTATCACTGAGTGGAAACTTTCTTGACCTATGTTCAGTGTAATCAAAAACAAATCCCTCCAATGCAAGAATTGTTTGGAAAGGATTTTGTAATGCTGGGGCAGTGTGTATAGACATGTTCTCATGCTTCCCTAATTGTATGGATTTGGTCGTAGGAGCTGCTGGACTCCAGCACTTCCATTGATTTGTCACAGTCTACAAATCCTGTATTTTCTTTACACAATGAGAAGCAGAAATTATTTAAAGAAAAATAATTTTGTATATTTACTGTGAATGAAATATGCACAGTTTTATTACATTTATATTAAAATAATTTGAGAGGTGTTTTGCTTTATTTAGAGTATTTTCAGGCTGTTTTGCTTTTGTCTAAACGAAACCCTTTTGATGCTCTTGCTTGTCTGGCTGGCTGTAAACCAGGTATTTAAACAAAAATAAAGAGTTGCCAGTTTTGCCAGCTGGGGATGAGAACCCGGCTGGTGATATGTGGGTTCGGGAGGCAGTTAATTCAGCTTTTATGCTTTTTTATGATTTTATGTAAAAGGAGGTTAAAAATCACATTTGGCTCTTTCTTTCTACCACTGTTTTGTTGCTGTTGTGGGAATGCAGTAAAAGGTTGCTCATACTTTTTATTATTATTAGGTAAAGTCCTGCATAAATTAGGTAGAGCCCCAGATACAGTTTGCTTTAGCTGTTGGCCATGTGATTTGCCTTGTTCAGAGAATGATACATTTTATCCTCCTGTTGCCCTCTTTTATAAATCACATGCAAACCACACCTCAAATTAGTTGTAAAAAGAATCTACCACCACCTCAGAATTTAATGTATTTTACTAGCTTCAAAAGAAGAGAGTAGCTTACTGTACAAAGAGGGGAAATGGTAACATTGCTAATATATCTAGTAGAAAAATATGTAGTGTTTTTACTCTGTGGCAGAAGAAAAAGTGATTTAAAGACAAGTGTCATGGATTTCCGATACAGTTTTTCAGCAAATAGTTTGCAATATGCTCAAACTCATAAAACATGTAATTAATTTTAAAACACAGGAGTTATTTTAGCTAGTTTTGTCATATGTACTTTTTCAGATAATTTGTTGTATTTTACACTTTCCAGAATTTCACCCTCTATTTGGAAATATCAATGATGTAACGAGTCTGTGTGTTTTGGCACAGTTGTAAATAGTATGTGTTAATGTGTTAATATTTATGATTTTTTAATCTTATATACACAAGAGGGATTTGTATTATGTTCTTTTCATCATGTTTCTACTACTGAGCCTTAAGGACAGTGAAAACTAGGAATGCATTAATTACTGTGGGATTGTCAAAACTGCCGTACTGGATCAGATCACATTTTGTTTCTGCTAATAGCATGCACAAGGTACTTCAGAGCAGGGTTGGATTTGCTGGGGGAGAAAAAGGAGAGGCAGATAAATGAGCTTGGCACCCGTCGACTGGCTGGGGTAGTGCATGTGTCCTGTGATGTGGTCACGGCTACACAGTGTCCCCAGATGGGTGAGGACTGTGTCTGTCCTTGCTTCAGAAAAGATTATTGGAACACAACAGTCATGGAAGCAGGTTATTTCTAACCTGTTAGAGGTTGCCTTATTCACTACAGCCTGAAGGCTTTACTACACATCACTACATTTTCACTTCTGTATATCTAAATGACTGTTCCCATGTGTCCACTTGCAGTTTGAGTCTTGATGGTGGTGACTGCAGGTGTGTTGTAAAAAGTATTCTGTTTTCTGTGGAGTAGTTAGGGGTTTGAGTTTTTATTTGTTTTGTTTTTTAAATAATTCATATATGCTGTCTTTCAGAATCTGCCTTTACATACATACATACCTACAAATTCTTTATGAAGAATTAATTCTTTAGAAATATAGTCCAACTGTATTAGTTACATTTATTTTTTTTTTCATCTTTCTGTTTATTATTTAAGCCTAATTTCTTGTTTTAAGGTTTTTTGCTGCTTTAATAGCTCTTTCTACAAGCAGTACTGGCAGTTTGGCACATACGGTTGCAGTGCTGTCTGCATTACCATTTATTAACTTCTAACTCTTCTATCTCTTTTGGAGTGAAAGGATATGATATTTTAGGAACTCAGAAACTGGAATTACATATGTATATATTCAGTAGCTTTTGGTTTTCTTTTTGCTTATGGCTTCATTACAGGTGTATGCTGCTGTTATATTGTCTCCATTCTGCAGTTTAATATGAAGGTATTAAGGTCAAGACACACCGCTTAGATTCCTTAGTCCAGTCCTCTGAGGCTGCTGGGAGAAGGGTTGTGGAGTGGATTATTTTTAGGCACATAACATTGAATGCATTATATTAACAAATTATATAAATGTTACCATACTTTTGTGATAGTATAATATAAACATAGTAACCTAGTAAACATAATATCATATAAACATTGTTATATTTCTTTGCATTAGCTGTTTGGACTACTGTCAGGAGAAACACAGTGTGGACTTTTAATATAAACAAAGATCTCAAAGAAGCTAAGCTTATAAAAGTAAGATTAAGGTATTTCTAAATTGAGGCTGCAATCTTACAGGTGGGATAAGGAGAGAGGAAGTGACTGAACAAGGATGTACTTCACTTCTCCCAGAAGAATGGTAATTGAGGCAGTAGTGCCCGTAGATGAAGTATCTCTTCCTAAAACACTGCACACTATGGTAGAGGACATAGAAAAGGAGAAAATACAGTCATGACCATTTTGAGCAAGTCATTCTCAATTTTATATTTTGCTTTCAGCAGTACAGTCCCCGATATGCCTGGAATTTCAGTGAGCTCGGGTGTGTGGGTCAATACTGCACTTCCACATATTGAGCCAGGTTCTGGGACACCATTTAGCACCCTGTGAAAACAAAGTCTTGGAAACACATTAATATAGAGATGCATCAAATAGATGTCTGAAGTAGTGCATGTCTCACAGCTGGTTTTGGTTTCTGTCTTAGGTGTTGGAAGATAATGACTATGGTCGTGCAGTGGACTGGTGGGGATTAGGAGTTGTCATGTATGAAATGATGTGTGGAAGATTACCATTCTACAACCAAGATCATGAGAAACTGTTTGAACTGATACTAATGGAGGACATAAAATTTCCTCGAACTCTGTCTGCAGATGCGAAATCATTACTATCAGGCCTACTGATAAAGGATCCAAATAAGAGGTAAGTGAAATTACTTGGGTATACAAGCATAGTAAATATGCCAAATTATACTGTGTAATATAAAAATAGGGCAGTGGTGCTGGGTCTTTCTGGCTGAAGGACCTGTCAGTCAGAGGAAAGGGCCATATGCATCCATGCTGTCTCATATTTCCACTTTTTTCCATACAGCAGTGGTAAGCTAAGTGAGTTTAACAAGCAAGAGGGGGAAAAGCATGTGGAAGAGAACACACAATGGTTTTTAACCATTTGCAGCAAACACAGGGATGTTTTCAGGTTTAGATTGTGTGTGGAACAACTTAACCCTGAGTTGGCTGTAGTGTCTCATGGGGACTACACCACTTACTCTTGGAAGTGATCATGCCAGAAGGTATGTGTAGATAGCCACAGATAGATTTTATTGGGGCACTTAAATAGATCACATATTAGACCATGTGAACTAGAAACTTGTTAAAAATACATCTTCTGAGTGAAATTTCAATACAGTGGTTTGAAAGCAATACCACCCAGCTGCTGCCTATGCTCTTTTGTGGTGGGCTTTTCTGTCTGAGATTGTTGCCTAGGAGAGCCATTTTCCAGTGGCCCTTGCACTGGACTAGCACTGTCCAGTCCCCTCTTGTTCTACAACAAATCTCTGTCTTTGCAAATCAGTGAGATTTCTCTGTAGGTCCACTCTTTCTCCAGTCTCTGCTGTTCTTGCTAGTCTGTTGATATGTTTTAATGCTACAGGCATTGGTTTGTCTGTGTCTTCTCTAGTCCTCCTTCATTCTCACTTTGTTCTCAAGAAGTTTTCAGTAGTGGGCGTTGCTCACAGGCAGGCAGGGCAGGACTGGTTGCTATGTCTCTCTGAGGGATTTGTTTGCATGCAACCAAGTGCAGCAGCCAGGGCAGCACAAGCCATCAGCCTTTCTTCTTCTGCCCAGCAATGCCTGTTTGAATTTACTGTATGCAGTAAAAGCAAATGGTGACCAAACAACCAAATGCATGGAGAGTAAAGTAAAAATTTATTCCTGTGGCAACTCCTAATGCATTTTAACCTCCAAACAGTCTCACCCATCAAACACATTGACCTTTAGAATTGAGAAGATGCTTCCTTCTAATTGATCTGTGCAGTCAGGAGTGTTTATTACAGACTTACATTTACAAGTTTATTCATATTCTAGTTCTGGTGCTAGCTAATGCTAAAGAGGGCAGGAGCACAGAGGTTAATTGCAACTTAGCTTTTCTCTGAGCAGCTGGATGGGAAGATATTGAGAGAAGTCTAGAGACTGCAGGCTAACTGGGATGCTTAGCAGAGAGGCAGAGAATTTTACAATGAGTAGTTAAGAAACAAAGAGGAATACAGCTTTGAAATGAGAAAACTTTATACTCAGTGACTGCAGGACTGAGGCAGTAGACCAGAATTCTTTTGTAATTTGACAGCAAGGTAATACCAAAACAGATTTTTTTTCTTCGTTGTGGGAATTATTGGTCCTTGCAATAAGTTTTAGAGAGGAATTTATCTTACTTCAAAGGTTGCTTTTAAATTTTGTCTTTATTTCTTTAGTAGTTCCTTTTAATGAAACACTAACTACTTTTGTCACTCTTCTTGTCGATATTTTACACATATGGGCTGCTTGCTCAGTTAAGATTAGCTTTTTTCTGTTGTAACTTTTTTCTGTTAGATCAGTAGAATAGTTCTGGAAGTCCATAGGCTGTTGAAAGGGGCAGTGGTTCCCTTTGGTGGATGTGTGGTTCTTTTTCTATCACCAGCAGCAGCTCAAGGGGGCTCACTAACCTTGCTGAGTCAAATTTGACTTTCTAATGCAACAAAAACCAGCCAGTTCTTTCTGGTTTTTCATTGTGTGGTTTCTTTTCATCTAGATTAGTGAGCTGACTCAGCTCACAATCATCCATGGGAATGACGCTATAGATGCAAGTATAAGGTAGTAAGTAGGGGTGGGACACCTCTCTTTTTTCAGCAGTGAACGCTTCCACAAGCTGAAATCACCTTGGGCAAGTTCACCCAAAGTAGGTGGAATTCACTTCCTAAGCTGATTATCCAGGGCTTTGGCAAGCTATGGCCCACAGTGAACAGTGTGGTTATTTACAATGGCCTTTAAATAACCTCCTCAGCAGGCCTACAATTTATTAATTTATACTAATTGACTCAAATTGGGACTATTTTATGGTAATTGGTTAATTGTTACAGCACCCAGATGCAACAACAGTGAACACTGTATAAAAACGATGCGAGTCATTACTGATTCAGTGCCTACCACCTCCTTGGCAAAATGTTGTGTTAGCATTGTCAGCTTGGTTTGGGATTTTAATAGTGCTGGAATGTCAGTTGGTCTTTCAAGAAAACTAAACTTAAGCATGTTTTTAAAATTAATGAATTATTTTAAAAGTTCATAATGTCTGGTAATGAACCCTATAATATAGATTAGTCAAATAGAATAGACCATGGCATGGTTACTTTTGGTATCCCATTTTCTCTTAAGATCTCCTGAATTTGTATTAAACAGGTGAGAATTACTTATTAAATGTAGATTTGTTCCAAGATACTAAAAAAGAAATGGTGACTTTTCCATCTATTACAATAATTCTATCTCCCTTTAAGAGTAACTCTTGTTTAAAATTATTTTTTTCCCCTCTTTTTAGGCTTGGTGGAGGCCCAGATGATGCAAAAGAAATCATGCGTCATAGTTTCTTCGCTGGAGTAAACTGGCAAGATGTATATGATAAAAAGGTATGTCTTTATATGACATTGAATAATCTGGCTTCTGCAAGGTGGTTTCAACTGAAAGGCATAGGACTGCTGCTCTCTGAAGTTAGTCTGGTTTTGTTTGCAACTTTTTGTGTTAATATAAATGAATAATTATTCTGAACTAGGTATACTTATTTTTTTTTTTTTCATAATAATTTGTCAGTGGACAAAAAATAAAAGTTGCAAACCAACCTAAACTCAGCAAAGATTTTTCTTTTATTATGCAGATGTTCAAATCTTTTTATTTCCTTTTTTCTTCCTGGGTCTTCAAGAGAAAACTACATCTAGGACTCAAGATATAATGAGAAAATGCATTGGAAATTTATCCTGAATTGTCTTCATATTTGTGCCTATTATTGAAAAGTTGTTTTATGGAAATAGAAAAATGAAGTGATTTGAAGGAAGTTATAGCAAAAATCTACTTTCTGATTGTTTGTAGAAATATTTTTCAAACTTAAAAAAAAGAGATATGTAAAGAAATTAAAATAGCATTAAAACACTGAGCCAAAACAGCTTGTGGAGAAGGTGGGTATTGGAAATTCAACTAGAACAGTTTTCTCTAAACCCAGTCCTGCTCCTGTAATGGATCAACACTTTGGGGATGATTTTAGAAAATAAATTTATCCTACTCAGTAGTGAAACTCAATGTGACTTAAGTTGTTTCATATACAGAAGCTGATTTTATCTCAGTACTTGTGTAAGAATTTACTTGTTGCTATAAACTCCATCTATTTTGATAATCTTTTTTTCTGTCAACTGTTTTACACTGTTAATCTGCCAGTTGAGCTGCATAATTTTAAGAGATTTTTCTTCCTCTTTGCTTTGTTCAAGTTAAAGGAAAATGAAAGACATGCGAATGAGCAGAATATGTTTATGCTATGATGTCAATGATACAAACTGTTTTTTAATGGTTGTTGAACTGGAATTTTTTAGAAGTGTGGTTTTCAATCATTCACAGCAAACACGGGGATCTTTTCAGGTTTAGATTGTGTGGTATTTCTCTGACAAATACTGGAATTGGAATAAGAGCCTGTATGTGGTGGTACAAAATATAGTACTCTGGAAGTTATTTGATACAATTTTTCCCTGGCAGTATAATGAGTTTTCAAGAAACTCTAAAATAAAAAAATCAGAGCAAGTACATGAATCAGGTTACTTTATCAGCCTAACCACTGGTTGGTTGTGTAAGGACATGGTAGCAAAGCCCTTTGAGGAGAAAATCTGAAAATACAACTTGAGGACCTTTCTAGAGTTTAAAAAAACTCAGTAAAATTGGTTGGATTGCAGTGTATTGGGAGCGGTTGAGAAAGAAAAAGCTGTTACATTACTCTTGCTCTGCTGAAAATTATTTCTTGGCTATTTTACTTTAGAAATAGAGCTCTGAGTTCTGTACTGTGTTCAACATAATATTTAATTACGAAAATACAGGTACTCTCCCTTTTTAAGCATATTCCTTGAGTCTCTCCAAATCAAGATGGCATGTGTCTTTCAGTCCAGATTTTATTCTGAGCTATTAAAATAAAAGGAGGCATTTTGTAGGTATAACTATATATATGTGTATGTATATAATTTTAAAAAGATATAAAAGTATAAATATTTAAACACAGGTATTTTTCTTTTATGCTTATGGAGGTGGGTACAGCTTATTGGAGTATTTTAAGTGGAGAAATTTGTAGCAATTAATTGTTTACTCTGCCCACTTGTTCTGAGAGACAAAATTTTCAAGTCAGTTGAATTTCCTCAGTGGAACAGTTAACTTCAGTAATTATTGGAATTGCATTTTTCCAGTATTGGCACACAGTGTGTTCTTTATGGAAAAATAACTCATGAAAAAGACTTTTGACTGTGTGTTTTTCTGTTTAATTAAAAATTAGTTTTATTCCTATTACAGAGCTATTTGTCTGGTTGGTTAAAATATCCAGTTGTTCCTTCTGTACACAGAGTCTTATCAGCTCTGAAGTATGCAGAGTAAGGCTGTGCCCTGAAATATAAACTTCAAACATAGTAATAAGGTTAATGAACTTCCACTGTGTATGTTTATTAGAATGCTTATATGAATATTTTTGAGGTTTTGATATTCTAAAATAATTCAAGAGGAATGTGCATCAAACAAATTTGATTTTCAGATAGATTTATTCTATGCTTGCTTCTCTTGCTGTTTATTAGTAGTATGGTCTTCAGTGGCAGGGTCACTTGATGAAATTGATAGTTGATATAATTATTTGCATAGTAAAAATACTTCACAGTATTCTTGTCTGAGGTTTATGCACCATGAAACTGTAATTTTCTGACTGCTTGTCAGGAGCATGTTTCTGTTAGCAATGAAAGAAGTGAGGTTCACATTTGGAGTAATGGAAAAAAAAAAAAAGAATCGTGTATTCCATGTAGTTGCTGGGGGACAGTTTTGTACGTGTGAACGCTGTGCTCTTGTGCCACTAATTTTATCATTTTTACTAGAGATTAAGCACACCTCTGTACTTACTCAGTTATCACTTTACTGGTGCGTTTAAAGACAGAATTCTATCTCTGTGAACTTAAGAGTATTTGATGCAACAACAGTAGCTCTGTCAGGTCAAATGGATCCAAATGGTCAAATGGAATTACTAGCTCTTTGATACTGCAAACTAATTAAACTAATTTGATACTACACAGTGATAATAAAATGTTGTATGACACACTGGAGCAGAAAAAGTCGTTGACTTTAAATGAAAAATGTATAGTAGTTAGCATTTGTGATTGGATGTGTTCGTTTTTGGCAGAAAAGCCATGAGGGCATATGAAAGAGAGCAGCCTGTGCCAGGTTCTTCCTGTGATCATCTCAGCCCTGATGAGTTTTTATCTCTGCCTGAGCATGAGAAATTGAATACATTGGCAAACTCTGAAGACTTCAAAGGCCCATATACTTCTAAATAAAATATTTGTTTTATTTTTAGGTAGAATCAGGAAGCTTTTTGAAATTTCTGTTCCTCGTTTAAGAATTGCTTTACCACATTTCTATTTGGGTTGCAGAGATATTCTTAGCTTGTTGGATGCTCTGTCTAGGGTCTTTTCCCAAACAAAAACTACATGGGCATTAATTTACAGGTAGGAATTTAGGTATGTCTTCAAGCTCGCAGCTTGAAGCACGCAGGTAGCCTCATGTGAAAGGAGATGCAGACCTTTCAGCAAAGCCTGGGTTTCCTCCTGCATGTAATAGATGAAAGAAGAAGAAAGAAACTGAATGGGAATCTGGGCTGAGATACATGTCTCCTGATTTCTGGTAATAACTCCAGTTGTTTCTGAAGCAAATTAGGGAGTGCTAACAAATGTATTGGTTAGGGTCAAGTGTGAGTAATGGTTAAAGCTGGGGTGTCTGACTTTGCTGCAGGGGCAGCACTTGCTAAGGCACCTGTCTCAGTGTGGAGGCAGCAACTTTCAGCATGGAGTCTGACAGCTGCAAGAAGCTGTTCCTTGTCCTTTAGCTGTGACTGCTTTGGCTTAAGACACAACGAGGAGAGATGATTGAATCCTAGGATTGAAGCCCTGGGTTCAGGCCTGGCAAAATCTGCGATATAACTATAAATTTAAATGCACGTTTAAGTACTTTTGTGTATCAGACAAGGAAAGGACAGGAGGGAAATGGGAAAATATCAACATCTGGTTTTAGGCTGTTGCTATTTGAGTCAGACTATTTTTGTACCATTATGTGCAGTGCAACAAAGCCTGTAGGAATGACCCTTGGTACTTGCTTTTGTGTGGCTGCCATGCAAAGTAGTAGAAAGATCAGAAAACTGCTAAGCGGTCTGATCTTTTCATTGTGTTTCCAGTTATACTTTAAAGTATATGGGCAGAGCTAGTGGTTGATTATTAACCATTCCCCTATCTGCTTGAATTTAGAGAGAGGAAAATATAATTAAGAGTGTTTGATACTAAACTTGTTGTAGTCCTGGGGGTTGTGTTTTCTCTGTCTGTTGTATCAGCATTGTATTGCTTGGAGAACAGAGTTTGTCCATGGGCAAAACTCCTTGCTGAAGCCAGCCTTCCTGACGATTTGTGTTGTGTGTCCTTCACCACTGAAATCCCAGTTCTCCCTCCTCCCTCTCCCTAGGCCACCACACACAGTGTCCTGCCAGGGTCCACGGAGCATTTCCAGCTCCTGGCCATGCTGCGACTGCTGGCTGGGCAGCAGCAGGCTGACTGCTGCTGCTCCAGCTCTGGGGATTAACCAGTCCCTGCGTGAATGCTGACAGACTGGCTTGAAGCTCAACTCAAGTACTGTCTTTCCTTCAGTGGAAAATTTCATTTGGGAGGGATGGACAGGGATGTCTTTCTTCTTTTCACTACCTAGATGGAGAAATTCTGTGAGAAGTATATGTATGCCTATTCTTTTCTCTATCATGGTGCACTTGCCAGCCATTCTGGGTTTGTTAGGGTAGGACGTACAGACTGACAGAGTCCATAATCTCATCAGCTCCTGTTTCTTTTGGTAATTGAGCTAATGTCAGAAAAAGGACGAAAAAATATTGTTAGGAAAGGAAAATCAGTAGTTGAAAGGGTGTACATATTTTTAATTAAAATACTGTTGTTGAGGATCTAATGTTGAAAGACTGAACTAAGGTTTTTGTGTTGTTAGTATCTCTGCATGGTTTTTAGGGTCATCAAGCATTTGCTTTGATGGGAGCTTAAAAGGTATAAATGAAGGACCATGCATTAACAGATATGCATCAGAAAAACATAAAATCTTGAGACAAGCTTTGCTAGTGTCCTTTTGAGGTGTTTTATTGTGGTGTTTTGTAAGTTTCTGAATTTCAATTTATGTGAAAATATGCTGTTTACTTGGAACGACATTTAGTAAACTAGCTAGTTTGTTAATACAAACAAGTTTTTTTGGAGTTAAAGGAGTCTGTTAATTGTGACATGTTTTCAACATTTCCCACTGAGCATGCTTGTGATGAAATAAAAAGGCATATTTTAGTCATGCGACCCCATTCTCTTCTCACAGTAGAATTTTTTTTTTCCACAATTCTTATTTGGCTAATCTGTCTCTTCTGTTTGATTCTTGAAAATAACCACTTTGCAATTTTAATTCTCCAGGAAAGTTTACAGTAGATGAAAGTTTGATTTCTGAACATCAAATCACAAACACTTACTTACCAATACTTAATTAACCCTCATAGTTAAAAAGAACTGTATCATTCGACACAATTTTTGGCATTTGTTAGACTTGAATAGTAAAGTAGGTGGAATTTTTTGAAATATGACATATGATGCCATACAAGACAATATTGAAATACCTGTTTTGTAGTTATTTTTATAATGAATTTTCAAAACACATAAGCTGTGAAAAATGAAGAATTCATCTCATACATTGTAATGCAATGTTGTATTGATGTAACCTGAATTGAACAACAGTGATCACTTTTTAATATGTATATGATACGTAAAGAATTAGTGTGGGAGTTCTGAGATAATAATCAAGTTACCTAGTATATTTAAATGAATAATTCAGTGGAAGTGGTGCATAGCTGCTCCAGATTACTACTCAGCTGCTGTTTGTTGGTGAATGAGATTCTTGTGGTAGTGTTCATTTGTTGTTCATTGGAAAGAAAATTCCCTTAAAACTAAAAGAAGATCAGACTGCTGTTCTTAAGCATCTTATTTTTCATTTGGCAGAGTAAGTCCATCACAGTTACTTTGAAGCAGCTTCAGCCACTTCCTATACAACACCAAACAAATAATTCCTGTCAGATTATCTTGGAACAAATAACATTACATATATTCTCTCTTACTGAAGTATTTGTGTAGTTGTTCAGTAAGCGTGAGAATGCTCAAATTGTAGGATAGAGCCAGTTTGTCTCAGGCAGATTTGTAACAGGCAGGTACTGCACCTTGCCCCTTTCCTTCCCCTTGAGAGATGGGTGGCAAATTTCCCAGGTCTTGAACTGTGGTGTTTCTCACACACTGCTCTCGATGGATGCCAAATGGAAATGCCATTCCCTGGAAGCAATAAAGACACAAAGAATTTGATACTGCTTCTGCTGTCATTTCTAACATCGAGCCTTGGAAATGGCTGGGGCAGAATCAGCTTGACAGATGGGTGTGAAATTGGATTTTTGTCATGAGCATCAACTCTTAGTCAGTGAACTCACACCGAGTTTGGACATTTATGTATTATTTTGTACACACACGTGTATGTACATGCATGAACATGGAAAATCTGTATTTCTGGTCGTTAGGGTTATGAGGCCTCTTTATTTAAGTGGACAAAAAACCTAAACAAACAACCAAAGACCCCTGAGTAAACCAGTAACTAGCCAATAAGTTTCTGAGGAAGAAATTTGTTAGCTAATACATTATCTTTTAACTCTCCTTGCAGATCCATACATTGCTACATAGTATGATCTTACCCTGCCCTTCCTTTTGTTTTTCATTAACTACTTTGATGAAATGTCTCTGGTATACTTCACAGCATCTTCGTGCTTCATCCCAAGCTGTAAACTATTAGGAATTAATATTAATTTTCTGGATAGAGTATCTACTGTGAAAAGCAACTTGTTGAAAGGCTTCTTTCTACATACTTACATAGTCTGGTCCTCATAGGTCATGGTGGCTTTTTTGGGGTTTGGATGGCTCTATTTGTGGATTGTGTAGTCCCTTTGGTTAGCACTGAGGTCTAGAGCTGCTTCTAGTATTCACCAATTCATGCAGATCTCTTCAAGCTGTAGAAAAAAACCAGTCTTGTGCATCAAACATGGTAAAATCATGAAGACTCTTAGTACTATTAAAAATTATCATCAAAAAGAAAAATTTCTGCCATGCACATAATGTAAATTGTATCTACTGCATTGAACTTGCTGAGAGGAGTGAGTTTAACAGCAGTTCCACTTTGTTTCCTGTGAGGTGAATTAACAAATAATTGTTTGGTTTTGGTGTTCTGGAGCTGAGAGATAACAGGAAACTAGTGAGAACCACACGCAGGCTCTGGTAGTAGCAGTGAGCCATAATGTAACCGCTGACATGGAAGGGGAAATTGGTACACTATCTTCAGGGTGTGTATTTTAAATTGCATATGAGGAGATAACAGCAAAGGGGTCCAAGGTACAAACCAAAACCACCCTTCCCCATGTGCAATATCATATATACAAACTGCTGTATTGTTTTGGACTGGCACCATGTAGTATGATATTCCATACTAAATGTGCTTTCCAGTTAAAATCTGTGGCCTGCAGGTGTTTGTTGTGGAGGAGAAGGCGGATTTTTGGACTAGATTATCCTTGAGGTCCCTTCCAACCTAGCTTTCTATGATTCTCTGATAGCAAGGCAGGTTCAAAAGAGGGGGAAGGAAGTCCTGCTTATGAGCTTGTGAGCAAATACAGGTGGTTTGCTGCTGGGAACTACCACATGGTGCTGCAAAAGCAATAGGCAGGATTAGATCCAGCAACGTACTTAGACGTGAACTGGCATTTTTTAAAATACAAATTTTATTGTCACATGCACTTAATTTTTCTGAAGGTAAGTTCAGATATAGGCCTTAACACTGGGGGTGGGGAGAAAAAAACCCACAATCATCATGCTTGCTATGCTCTCTGTGTGGCCCTTGTTGCCTTAGCTGTTTATGCCACGCAGTTCTGGCGAAGTACCTAGAGGTGCCTGCTGCCTGACATCTATGCAGGTAATTAGAATGGCCCGAAGAGTTTCTAGGTAATTGTCTTTATGCAGCTCAATTTATCTCTAAGTCATGTGAGAGTGATACTTGGAATTTAGCTGTGTTGAGCTATTAGCTAGATTCTGAACTAGTACTTTTGGGATTGACTCTAATGGCTTCTGTCTCTTACTTGAAGTTAGAGACTCAGCTGGAACTCCACAGACCTACTCATCTGATCTGGGCTGTAGAGGAAAAGCACAAAATACTTGTTTTTCTGGTAGTAATTTGGCTGGTTTCAGGTATAGTAATTTCATTTTGTTTCTTTGTCCCTTTCAGCTTGTACCTCCTTTTAAACCTCAAGTGACATCTGAGACAGACACGAGGTATTTTGATGAAGAATTTACAGCTCAGACTATTACAATAACGCCACCTGAAAAATGTAAGTCATAAATTATGCGTATGAACGATTTAAAAATAAGGAGTTTATAATAAAGCACTATGTATGGTGGGTTTTTTTTCTTCTGTTAGAATGGAAAAGCTATTCTCACTGTTACTAATAAAAATGTTCATATGGAAATGTGTAAGAGTAGCTCTCAAAGGCAGTGTGCTTCTAAAAAAGGAATAATTACAAAACGTAGAATATTAGATCATTCTGGGTTGGGTTTTGGGGGCCTTTTTGGTGTGGGTGGTGTTTTTTTTTTTTGTTTTAAGGGGGGGGATTGTTTTGGTTTTGCTCTGTTTCTGTTTCTTTTTTAATAAGAGGAAACACCAGCTTCAAATGTTTGCTGGTTGGCAGTCAGGGAACTGACTTGGAATGTGGACCCTGCTTTAAGGATGTGGACAGTCCTAGTGGCCCTGATGGGTTTTTCTAGGTGTAATCTGTTAGTAATATTTTAAAATACTTTGAAGACTAAAAGAAAAAAGAAAAATAAATAAAAAAGAGCTGCCAGAGACAGGTGAATGTCTCTTGTGTAGATATCAATTTATCGAAAATAAAATTTATCAAGTCCTGCGCTTCAACAGAACTCTTAAAAGAAGTTATTAATATAGATGTAACTGCTGTTCTGGGCTTTGCACAGAGTTTCTTTGTTGGAGTGAACATAATTTCACCACAGTTTTTATTTTTGCCATCTTCTGCTACACTCACACAAATCATGATCTGATTGGCCAGTCTAGGGTTTAACAAAGTCACTTACCAAGCCAGAACAATTAAAATCTTGCTGCCGAGTTCCTGAATGAATTTCCTTTCTGAGTGAGATTATTTTTCTTTTTTTAAACTGGGGGATAGGGAAGTAGGATCCCAAAGGTAGACAAGGCTAGAGGAAAGGTTGATTACCCTTTCATAGATCCAGCTCCTTTTTTGTTTGTTTATGGATTTCAAGGTTTAGCTGCAGTTTTCTCTTAGTATATATAGATCTAGAATAATAAGTATTTGTTCACATTTGTAATTTGAACAGATTTTGCTAAAAATTGGGTTAACTTGGGGTCTGTTGATTCAATATCATAAAGTCCCAATCTCTTGAAACTCCTCCTATACAATGTAAATGGCTATTTATCCATTGAAGGTTGAAACAAAACAAAATACATGTATGCTACCAAGACTTCAGCTTTAAATTTATTGAATTCAGAGCAGGTGATGAGTACCAATGCAGGGAAACGATCTCCCTACCTCAAGTACCTTTCTTGGCTTGAATAGTCTGGCTGCTGCAGCAGGAAACTTTGCACGGGCTGCCACCCCGCCCCAATCATAAGAATAATAGAATGGGGGTGATGACCAGCAGGAGTGCAGGGATCAGCTGTGATGTGGCTGACACAGGGAGCCCTCCGAGAGAGCTGGCAGGGCTGCCTCACCTGAGGCTGAGGTAAGGAGCATTGCCAGCAATGCTTCAGTGAATTTTCTGTTGTGCCAAGTCGGTCTAGAAAACTGCTGCCATTTTTGTTGAGCCTTCTGCCTGATGTGGTTATGCAAAAGGTGGTTAAAATGTGTGGGGAGTTCGTAACTGTATCACAAAGTTACTGCTAAACTAAAGATATTTTATTGTTACAGGGATAATTTTCATAACACGTAGGCCAGTTATTTAGATATCAAAATTTTACAAATAACGCCAAGTGAATATTGAAACTATATCTTGTATCTACAGTAATCAAACTGATAGCAAAACAAACAAGCTCTGTGCATTAACCTAATTAAAACTGACAGTGTAAAAGGGAGATTGTGTTTGAAGTTACAGAACCGAGAGGCTCTGTTGGAAGTCAAGCAGCTTAATCCATAGCAATTGCTCAAACCTGCATTAAATCTTGTTTTTGTATGCAGAATATATGAAGATACAAAAGATACGTAATTCTGAAAGGTTGCATATAAATACGTCATTAGAATACCAGTTTTGATAAGAGTCTCTAAGGATAAGCACTGTTAAAAATCCATTTGAGAATGTAGATCAAATTCTCAGAGTTAGGCAACATCTGTTGCCTGGTTTCCATTGGCACTGCAGGAATTATGTAAATAAAAATATTTATGAATTTGGCTTAGTCCCTGTTTCCTCTGATCCCAGTAAAAATAAATAGCTTACTAAAAAATAATATGTAAGAATTGAAACACATAGAACCTGCATGAATTGTTCATTTTGTAGCTGTTTTTCCTTTTAAATCCCTTGGAAATGGAAGAATATTTAAATTATCTACAATAAGATGATAATTTCCTGAACTCAGCTTAAGAAACAATGAAAACTGGCTGCTTGGACCAGCAATCCGCTCCTGCTCTACCAGAAGCTGGATGTGCTGGCATGTCTTGATTAGCCTAGAATAGGTAGTAATGACTGAAGTTCTCAGGTGATGGTCATAATCAAACAAACAAATAAACCCACCCTGAAATAAAGAGGAGCTTACTGAGAGGATATCCTTTCAGTGAGCATCATTCTGCTGTATGAGCATGAGTTTACGTGAATAAAGTCTTACTTGACTTGAGCCTTTAACTTCAGCATTGAGCCCTGAAAGATGTGCTGTCAGGAGAGTAATGCCATTCTGTTGCTAATACAGTGACATTTGAACTTCTCCCTTAATGCAGATGACGAGGACGGAATGGACTGCATGGACAATGAGAGGCGGCCGCATTTCCCCCAGTTTTCCTACTCTGCAAGTGGACGAGAATAACTTTTTTCTTCTGCTGCTTCACTGTCATCTTAGGCTTATCACTGAAAATGATTCCTGAACATCACCACCAGTACTAGATACTATTTAAGATAGCAGGGGCACTTTCGGAGACCATTCCAAATTGAACAAGTTTTTTTCCCAAACCTATCTAAAATCCATTTTGGTTTTGCATGAAATAGGAGATTCATCTCTACTGTGCTCTCCAGCTGTTGCTTCCACCCACAGTCTCAGTACAACAGCAACGTCAAGAAATTTCTAACAGTTTCTTTGAAGGTAGATGACTTGACTTAGTCATCTATTTTTCCTCACAGTGGAGGCTAAACATGTTGGTCCAGCCTATCTTCTTCCAGAAGATGAATCCAAATTGTAGTTGATCTAAAAAGACTAGTCAATAACATTTTCTTGCATCTGTTTGTGCTGGTTAGAACAAAGAAACATAGGGGTGGTGATGTACGTATGCAAGGTTTTTGTTAGGCATATCATTACTTGAAGCAGATCTCTGTCATTAACATCTGGCAGGAATTTGTTTGGGAAATGTTGAGAGAAGGACTTAAACTGTTGATATATATAAATATATATATATATATAATTTTTTAATTACTGTTGGATACTACAGAAGAAGCAGAAGGGCTGGGCTCATCCAGCCTACCACTTAGAACTTCCAGGTTCACGTGCAATCATGGAGAATCGAACATTATACATGCAAGAAATGAAGGCATAAAAGCAGCAGTTGAAGTTATTTAAGGGGTCTTATAATTTGCACCAGATAACATCTTTCTCATGCTTTTCTTTTTCTTTCATGATATACATCACCTCTGATGGCTGAAGAATGTAGACAGGCATAATGGTATTGCTTTTCACCAAAATGTGTGCACCAGGGTGAACAGGTGTTTGCCTTACTTGTTTATATTTTGAGTTTGTGAATTAGCTTTTTCTCCAGGTGTTTAACTCTGAATATTTTTTGTTTTTTTTGTTGTTTTTTTTTGTCTTTTGGTTATACGGCAGTAGTATTTATTTTTAGAGATAAGGATTGTATGTGTCATGTTTGCAAATGCTGCTATATCTTAGATAGAACAGGCTTATAGCAGTTAATTTTGTAATATATGGAAGGACTGTACAAGCTGAAGGGAATAATGCACTTTTCTCCCATGTGGAAACAAGGCTCTGAAATTGTACATACTGCTTAGAATCAGATTTTTGTGAAGGAAATACTGTCTTTTAATTGTTTGGCAATGAAGGGGAGGAATTCCAACTTCAGATGTCAAAGGGTTAAAAAAACCACAACAGACAAAAAAGCTACAACATGTGTTCCATTGAGGAAAAATGTAATAGAAGAGCCTGACAGCACAGTAGAAAATTTCTGTTCTATATGAAGGAATTGCATTTGAACAATGAGACCACAGTGATTACAAGAAAAGCACTTTATTTTAATAATCAAAGTAGTAAATTTTGGGGATCAGCTGTTGTCCAGGAAGGTTTTCCCTTCAACCAAAAGAGTCCCAAAACCCAGCATGTTACATAAAACCATGGTACCTGATTGACTTTAAAACATCACGAGAAATGCTCCCCTGATAGGAAAACATCTTTCCATTTCCAAAGATCTGTGTCTAACAGCGCATGTGCATAAACTTTAGCTTTGATCTTCAGCAATGATAATCTTAATAATAAACCCTTTGGTGCTAGGAGTCGGGACGTTACGCAGTGCAGTGACTGTGCGCGTGCCCTTGCTAGCAACGCCGGAAAAACCCGACTCCATGGGATTATCATTGGAAGTATCTCTGCGTTCCTGTCTTGTTAGCTCCCACGAAGACTGTGACATTGCGGAGTATTGCTGGTTGTGTTGTGTGAGTGAGTGGGTGAGTCTGAAAGGAAAGGTGTTCCTATGCAGATGCCTTCGCCTCTTGATGTGGAGAGTTGGGTGCCCGAGCATGAAGCCCACTGCTGGCAGTGCCTGTGCTGGGACCGTCAAGGGGTAGATGGGCATTTTAGCAAGGCAGCTAAAGACACAGACTAATTGAGACAATTTTTCGTGTTTTGTGTTTTATCTTCAGTAACGGATGGATAATCAGTCAGAAATACATTATGGTGTGTATTTTAACTGCGTAGGATCTCATTCTGTCACCTTGTAACACTAAGCATGTGTAGATGATCCCTCTACAGAGAGAGAGGAGCACAGCAAAGGCGTTGCAGGTCTGTTCTGCGCCGGTTGCGGAGATGTGTCTGCACTGACAGAATGAGCGAGTGACTGAAATAACCGTGTACTTAATATACGGGCATTAATGAGTTCTCTGCAAAGGTCTCATACTTACAGACTAAAACTCTGGTGATTCAAAATCTGTGTTATATGCCTGTGTTTTTTTCCCTGTATGTTTTCAGCTTGTAATAGCAATAAGCTTCTTGACACAGGGCACCTCCAGCTCAGGAGCAGCTGTTGCCGTGCCTCTGGCCGGCCGTTCCTCGCGTGCAGAACAGCCCTCTGTTTAGCTCACCGGCATGTGGCTAGTTAGGAAGCGGTTTGCAGTAACTATTTGTCAGTGGATTATTTGAAAACCCTTCAAAGACTTCACTTTGCATTGTGTTGTCTGCCTTCCAAAGCTTCGTTCATCAGGTTTATGCTACAGAGAGAGTCAGCAGCCACTTGGTGCTGCCTGGGGTTGGGAGATTCCCTCTCTTACCAGTGTTAGAAACGGCTGAAAGACAAATGGGCAGGCAGTGCTGAGAGAAGCCTTCAAAGCTGCTCTTCTGCTGTTCGCAGTCATGGTTGGGTTGGGACAGGGGGTGGTGGCTGGGTACCTTGGTGAACCTTTAGAGCACAGTACATTTCAGACTTTGACTCCAGCTTGTACTGACCTCCATGACATACAGTATGCCCTCTTGTACTGCAGCCATCTCGGAGGAAATAGGTCATTTCTGTTTGGATTTTGGCAGTTTTGCGCACAGCTTTGCTTTCCACGCTAATCCATCTTCCAGTACATTCCTGTTGCTTAAAGAACATTTATTCCAGTGTTGTTTTACATTGGGTTTTTTTCCATCTTTACTTGCAGCTTCTTAAAGCTGACTGTTCTTGCAGGGGCCGTGTGCTTCTCCTAGAGTACAAAAGTAAGGTCTTTCCTTACTAACTGCAGGGTCTATATATTACACCTCAATGTACACACTTTGCTGCTACTGTTTGTACTGTCTACAGTAGAATTTCCTTATCTTGCTCCTGGTAGTGTATTACAGGCAAGCATGAAATGTAAAGTATTTATTTAAATAAAAACCTCTAAATTGGTAATTGAATTACCTCCCTGTAGCTTTAGAGTTTGTGACATTTCTTGACCTTGCTAGTTCTTTCATTAGATCCATGCAAGATCTAGTCATATGGTTAAGGATATTAAGCAGACACGACTATGAACCCAAGAAAACCGTATTACTGTTGGTCATACTTAAACTGTTTATTTCCTTAAGTATATGACCCACAAGGATGTGAAATAACTACAAGAAACTGTTTTTGTACACTGTACATCCTTAGTATTTTTACACGTATATGATAGGGATGCACATTATTTTCCTTCGTACAGACAGCTTAAATAAAGCACTATGTCAATCTGCTACTTCTGTGTTTTTTAATGCTAATTTGTTCTGGAGGTTTGTAAATATATATATATATATATGTTCAAGCTTGCCATAAAGGACGTATTTTTTTATATCTGCACATTACTATTAAATATCTTAGAGGATAAAATTCCTAATTTGTTCTGTGTCAGAGAAAGAAAAACTGAAATGAGAAGGCTATATTGCAGATTACAAAAGATTTCTCAAGTTCTGGTTTAAATATTTACTTCCTGTTTTAAAGTAATTTTATATAGGTTAGATGTTTCAATCCTGAAATGCACAAAGAATTTACTTAATTTCTTCTTACAAGAAAATGTACATCGTTATTTTTTTATCACTGTATATACAATGTTCTGTGCATGTTTAGTTTTATTTTGCTGTGCAGTCCTAGTGATAACTGTAACTCGCTGTGACGTATTTCAACTACTGGGTGATGAGTTTCAGCTTGTAAATTCTTGAGCTACAGTATTGTCAAAAAACAAACAAACAAAAAAATAGAAAGTTTTTATGACTAAGCAAGATGTATCTGTGCTTTGGACCAAGGCTATTTCCACACAGGCGGGTCATGTTAGCTCTGCGAGGCCCATGTCACTTGTGGAAGAAGTGAATTTGGGTTATGCTTCCTGAGTGGCGCTTCCAGAGGGCTGTGTTCCTGTCAGAACACCCACCATCCAAATTATTTGACATCTAATTAAAGTCATAGCCTCACATCCCATAGCTAGACGTGCCAGAGTAAGGAGAGAAAATATGGGAAGGTGGGATGGGCGGGGTATCTCAGGGTGGGACTCTGAAGCCTGCAGGCAGCTCCAGGCCCATTTGAACCAGCTGGTTGGGAGGGCTGAGGGTACCTAAGGCAGGAGGTCATCTAGGTTTCAGCTTAGTTTTCCGACATGAATCCTTCCCTGGAATTGAGGTGCTTTATCTACGTCTCAGGTTTTGTTTGTTTGTTTGTTTTTCTTGTTTTTCCTTATGTTTTTTTTTTCTCTTCCACCTTGTAGTAGGAAGGAGCATGAGAGACAGCCAGCCAGCCACTAGTTCACTAATAACAGATCAGTGACCAGGATGCAGCTGTGGCAGGGCTGCCTGGTCAGGCCTCATCCTGCATTACAGGATGACACTCTTAGCTGTGGATGTGGGCTTTCCTGGGCTCAGTCACCTAGTCTGACACTTCTAAACTTTGTAAAACTAAGCATTTTCTGTCTTAAGTATAAGGTGGATATGGTGGTGGTGAGGAACATAAGAGGGGTAGAGCTGGTGATAATTAACTGCTACAGAATAGTTGCTGCAGATAAATAGAGTCTTTCCAGACTCTCAGCAACATAATGAATTGAACCTACACCTGGGATGAGTATGAAAACCTCCATCCAGCTGCATGTACTTGCAGCCCAGGATGCTTTGTGGATATCAAAAATGCATAAGTGCATACAGGTGGCTGTGCTCTGCTCACAGCCACCAGAAGCCATCGGGTAGGTCAGGTGGGTCCAGAAAGGTTGAGGGTCCAGCTGTGCCTCAGACCAGGGCAGGGCAGCTCCAGGATCTCAGTGAAGCCTAAGTGTTAG